AGTAAACATCTGCACTATCAGAAAATGGATTATGGGCACATTTGTGATTTTTAGTCTACTCTTCCTCAGCAGATTCACCACTCCTCTTGTTGTGCTTCCTCGCATACCTCTGATTCCTCAAAAACTTCGGCTCCATCTGTATAACATTTCACACATCAAAATAAGGGAAAAAAATTTCACATATACAGGAAATCGGCTGAATGAAAACGAACCCCTTTGGTTGAGGTGTGACGGTGGCGTTTGGGCTTCTTGATGCCGTTCTTGTGGGCCTTGTAGGATTGGTTATGGGCGGTGTGGTTCTTCGATTTCGCCATTTTCTTCTCTGCATCAAAGGATAAAAACAAGGATTAATACAAAATGTTTAGCCTATAAAATACACATATTTCTGCATCTATGGATACCTGGTGATTTTGAAGCGAAAGGAGGTTGCGTCACAAATTGTTAGGGTTTTGGTTCCTTTTAAGCGCGTGGCATTTAACTGAGTGGTTTGGGCTTCAGTTCAGCAGAGTTATTAATGGGCTTTGTAGCGGAATTGACAGAAACAGCACTGAGCTGAGCAATTTTAAACGTTCAGCAAATCTTTATTATGGCTTGTTTGGAGAGATTTTCTGAAGATTATTTTTCCCAAAATCATTGTAAAGTGTGTATCATATTTTCAAATGTCCTATGATAAGTTGTCTATGGACTTTGTGCATATTTTGTACATGAAACTAAACTTGTGTTTGATTTTGCTAAAAAAAAAAAAAAAAGTAGAATTTTTATTAGATTTCAATAAAAATTCTAATAAAAATTGTGTGGTTCAAAAGTTGTGAATTCCATAAAATAAATTATTGAAAATGAGTTTTAAAAATGATGGTCAAGCAGCGATTGAACGACAATGCATATTTTTAAATAAGAGAAATTAGGTAAAATCTTCTAGATTATCCTACCAAATGTATTGAAACTAATTGTTCAACTTTTGTTTTGTATGCAACTACATATATCGCAATGTTCAATTAAATAGAAATTTTAAGAAATATTTTCACCACGTAACATTGACTTTACTAGACGAAAGTAAATTCGAAGGTGAAAATTACATTAAAAAAATGTTTATATTATAATATAATATTCTAAATCCCTAATCTAAGACCAACTTGGATGATGCAAACCGGCCAATGGGCACTCTCCAAAGTTGTCACCCCATTCCCCTTTATAATATATAAATACTACTTGAAATCAAATTCAGCCTCAGAATTTTTGTAGTTCATTTTCTCAACTTTTCCTTTCTTTTCAAATTAAGTATGTTTCTCATGAATTGGTTCTATGGCATATTAACCTCTCTTGGATTAAAGCAAAAGGAGGCAAAACTCTTGTTTTTGGGCCTCGATAATGCTGGCAAAACCACTTTACTTTATATGTTGAGTAATGAGGTTTTAGTTTCTTCCCTCTCAACAGTGTTTGACACATTCACATTCACACACACATATACGTTTACGTATATGTATGTGAACATACTGTTCCAACTTCGTATTTTTTCAACATAAACCATAGATCGTATTTTTGGGGTTTGTAAGTGGACCCGCCTACTATAAAATGAGCAAGAAAATCTTGCTCATAAGCCAAATTCTGTTTCATCAAAGGCTTTGTGGAGAACAATTTTCACAACTAAATGAGTGGTGGATATTGTGGATCCTACAAAATAAGTGGATAAAAAGCAATTTGAGTGTTTATAAACATGAGCCGAATATAGGCGAATTAGCATAACTTTTATAAAAATAATATTTAAGTGCCGCCAAACATGCCACATTGTGAGAAGATTTTACTTCTATTTGCTTTCGTAATATGGTGGTGAATGAAATATGATTATGTTATTTTGTATGCAGATGCTGGTTCAACATCAACCAACACAGTATCCAACATCAGAGGAACTAAGTATTGGGAATATAAAGTTCAAGGCATTTGATTTAGGTGGCCATCAAATTGCTAGAAGAGTCTGGAAGGACTATTATGCTCAGGTTAATATTTTTAGTTCGACTACCTGAATTCTTTTTCAACAATATGTGTATCGAAATTCATGTCATAACCTATGGGATCTTGCCTTAAGAGTACTTAAAAAGAAAAGTAAACTGATGTGCAACTTATTTCATTAGGTTGATGCTGTGGTTTATCTTGTTGATGCTTCTGAGAAAGAGAGATTCATGGAATCAAAGAAGGAACTAGACGCCCTTCTCTTAGACGAGTCTTTAGCAAATGTCCCGTTTCTTGTTTTAGGGAACAAGATCGACATACCCTACGCAGCTTCTGAGGACGAGCTACGTTATTACTTGGGCATAACCGGCCTCACCACGGGCAAGGGTAAGGTCAATCTTGCTGAAACCAATATTCGTCCCCTCGAGTTATTCATGTGCAGCATCGTGCGCAAGATGGGATATGGCGAGGGATTCAGATGGCTATCTCAGTACATCAAGTAGCAGTCCTTAAAGATTTGAAGGATCGATGGCACCAATAATTTGAAGGATTTTAGAAGAGGTTTGTGCTGGTAATAGTTTTGTTGGGCCGTAGGTTTTAATTGTTAGTGTTTTGGCATCGAGGTAGGTTAAGAGTATGATGGCAAAGCTTAAACTTTAGTTTAGGCTGGTAAAACATACTTTTTATCCCCATATTTTGTGAAGTCTACAACTTATTATTTATTTTCTATAAGTTCTATATGACGCATGACACTTTAACATCTTCCCATTCGCTGAGAAAATCCAATGTGCCGAGGTGGGGATAGCAAGTTCGGAACATAGCACGGTGCTTAAAAATTTCAATTATGTTAAACCATTCACAACTAGCAAAAATTTCAATCATGTAAAATCATTCATGGCTAGCAATAGTTGAAAGATAAAAATAAGACGACCGAGGCAGATCCACTAGAATTTTTCAAGAGCATATATATAAACATGCCAATGGAAATTATCAATCTCACAAGAAGATGGGATCGAAAGTGAAACCTAGCAATTCCCACATCATGATATCTTCAGATCTTAAAATATCCCAACGTTTAAGGATATCAAACCCAAGAAGGTACTACCTTAATCTTTACAGTGTACACATTCACCTTCCGTAAGTGCACGGTTTCTCACCATCCCACAATGGAATGCGTGCACATCAGTCATTTATATGGCGGAGTCCTTCATATTCAAGCTGCACAAAAACATGATTAGTTTAAATTATGTGAATTAGTACCGTGAACTGACCAATGTAAAGAGAATCTTTACCTTTGCTTTGTTATGTTCTATTTTCATTCTTCTATATTCTTCTTGTGCTTGCTTTGTGCGAAACATAGCTTGTACTCTTACATCAGATCTTTCAACACGCTCTTCGGCTTGTTTCCTGTTGGTTTGGAAGAAGCCTTCAACACTTTCTTGATTCTGATCTTCGACAGCTGCATCAGTTTGAAACTGAAGCCCTCGGAAGCCTTTTCTCTTGAGACGCCATCGTATTATTGCTTTTTCAAGGACCCCGACTGACCAGACAATCATGCGGTATTGCCTCCGAACTAGGGAATTCCGGACAGCAGACTGCTTCAGAGAAGAACTAAATACCCAAAGATGCACATTAGAAAAACATGTACCACTAGGCAATGTACTTGCAATTATACATAGATAAACATGTCATTAGTCCAGGAATATTAGACTCATAAATACTATAACATTCACTAGATAAGTTACACAGAGAAAATTAATATTGTTTCAGTTTTTGCGTTATGTCTTTCTGATAGTCACCCATCAAACCCAAATTCAGAGGATTAAAAACACCAGTGGTCACTCATTCGAGCTTCAGTCGAAATTTTATGTTGGACATTTAATTTGTTTGGTTTCAAGTTGGCCATTGAACTTGAATTTTATTACAATTTGGTCATGTTGCTAAATTTAAATTTTAGTTACAGTTTAGTAAATCCTTCCATGTCCTTTAGTTTATCTAATGGAAAAGCCGACGTGGTAGTCTAGTTGGCAGCCTAACTGGCAAATTACTAGACTTCCATGTAATCTTTTCCATTAGTCAAACTAGGGAACATGGACAAAGTGACCAATTTGTACCAAAATTTAAGTTTAGCGACCAACTAGAAACAAAATGAAATTCAGTAATTAACATAAAAGTTTGCGGAAAGTTTAGTGACCACCAATGCATTTACACATTGTTCAACAATATACTCCAAGTTCATTTTAGGAACGAAGCTACCCATAGAAAGTTTAGTGACCACCAATGAATTTACACATTGTTCAACAATATACTCCAAGTTCATTTTAGGAACGAAGCTACCCATAGAAAATTTAGTGACCACCAATGAATTTACACATTGTTCAACAATATACTCCAAGTTCATTTTAGGAACGAAGCTACCCATAGATAAACACTGCATATTCAGCTCTACATGATAAAAATTGAGATGAAGCCACAAGGCCATTTGTTGGATAATTGCTTCAAAAGTCAAAAGTTAGAGGACTATTATTGCAATTAATAAAAGGTAGTTATTATATGGAAGACTTCTAATTAAAGTTGAGAGCAGAATTCTTACAGAATTTGGTCTCCAATTTACAGCCAGTTTTGAAGTCTTGCATATAAAGGAATCCTTATTAAATTAAATGAGTCTTGTTTGAGTTTAAATTAAACTCTTCTACTTAGTTATTGATCTTATATATAGTGGATGTATTTCATTATTTTAGGTGGTGCCAGAGATTTGATTTGAGAGGAAAATATTGTGAGCCTAGTATTTTAAGACTTTTCGTACGTAGGGTAAAAAAGTAGTTGTGGTAAAGTTTGAGTGTATTTTTTCTTTATGATATTTTGGGATTGGGTTGGTGAGTGAAATTCTATATGATTGTAACAATTTTTCATATAGTGAAAAGCTTTGACAGTCCGTTTAATTTGTGCGTTGTTCTTTATTTTTCTTGTTTGCTAATATTCTTCTAAACAACAAAAGATCCTGCGGGTAAATAGAAATAAAAGAAAATTGGCATAAAATTTACAAACAAGTGGTATTAGAACGTCAGTTAGTTAGGAGTATTGAAGCAACAGAAAAATATGTCATCGTTGAAATATGATGTTAAGAAATTTGACGGGAGAAACAATTTTGGCTTGTGGCATGTACAACTTAGGAATTTATTGATTCAAACAGGACTACACAAGGCCTTGAAAGGAAAACCAACCAAGAATTCTGGCAAAGAAGCTGAATTCAGTATGAGCGATGAGGATTGGGAAGAATTAAATTTGAAGGCTGCAAGCATTATACGTCTCTGTCTGGCTAAAAACGTTATTGCAAATATTCATGGAATATCAGCTGTAAATGAACTATGAGAGAAGTTAGAAGAACTATATCAAACGAAGAACCTCTTGAATCGGTTGTATCTGAAGGAGCAATTTCATTCATTGTGTATAGAGACGGGTACGAAAATCTCAAACCACCTGAGTTCTCTCAATGGGATTATTTCAGAACTGGAGGCTATTGGAGTGAAGAAGGGTCACTCCATGAGAAATAAAGTAACTTGTTGGAACTGTGATCAGATTGGTCACGTGAAGAAAAATTGTCCAAAATGTGAAGTAGGGTCGACTAAATGCTCGGGGTCGGACCATGCATCTCTCCTGGCAGAGGAGGACGCGGATGTGATGCTGTAAAGTAAGATGGGAACATTCTTATGACATGTTGCCAGTTTCCATGATAGAGGATGTGTCCTGACTGACGCGAGTCAGCATATTTGCACATAGCATTGACTGAAATTTGATGTAAGGTGTGTAGGTATGTGGTGGTGTTGTGATGTCGATAACTGATGAGTTCTCTGAAAAAGTCAGTGGGAAAGTTGCACCATAACTATAAGTAAGGTTGTTTCGACATGTAGCCAATGAAATGCTCAGAGTTCGCGAATAATTCTGAGTGGTTATTCTCATATGGTGGAGTATGGGACCGCTAAAGTGTGTCAAAAGCTTACCTGTTTTTTTTCAAGTATTGTGATTAAAAATTGTAGAAGAGATGACAATATTTTGACTCGTTTTCGATAAGTGAATATTGTTGGATAATTGCTTCAAAAGTCAAAAGTTAGAGGACTATTATTGCAAATAATAAAAGGTAGTTATTGTATGGAAGATTTCTAATTAAAGTTAAGAGCAGAATCATTGCTGAATTTGATCTCCAATTTACAGTCGATTTTGGAGTCTTGCACATGAAGGAATCCTTGTTGAATTAAAAGAGTCTTGTTTGAGTTTAAATTAAACTCTTCTACTTGGTTATTGATCCTATAAATAGTTGATGTATTTCATTATTTTCGGTGGTGCCAGAGAATTGATTTGAGAGAAAAATATTATGAGCCTAATATTTTAAGACTTTTCATACATAGGGTAGAAAAATAGGTGCGATAAAGCTCAAGTTTATTTTTTTCTTTGTAATACTTTTGGATTGGGCTAGTAAGTGAAATTCTATATGATTGTAATAATTTTTTATATGGTAAAAAGTTTTGACGGTCCGTTTAATTTGTGCGTTATTTTTTATTTTTCTTGTTTGTTAATATTCTTCTAAACAACAAAAGATCTTGCGGATAAATAGAAATAAAAGAAAATTGGCGTAAAATTTTCCAACACTATTTTGGCCTGAAATTTCCCCTGACAGCATTGTACTAAAGCGCCAGCAAAATGGTGAGAAAGGGGAGTAAATCAGGGCTCACTTGAATTTTTATGGCCTGACGACACATGTTAATGAAATCCTTTCGTATCTTCCAAGTACGGAATCTACATTGGATTCGAGCAGCGGTTGAAATCATTTTTCTCATCTCATAATTGCGGAAAGCATGTTGGATCTTCATTGCTGCAACTATTTGACATGCGTCAATCTCTTGGTTAGATGACTGAACTGCCTTTGTATGCATTTTGAACGACTGTTCCCTGAACGCAACATGAATACGTGTAGCTGCATCAGCAGTTGTCCGGTAAGCTGCCAGAGTATCCTTCAGATAAATCTCCTCCTCAGTGAAATTTCCAAGGTTCGTTGTATCAGTTGTGGTTGTTTGTAGTGACCCTCTAACATTTCCAGCCAATGTCACATCCTCAAAATGTGAAACTAAAGCTTTTTTAGCAAGATAAGCTGCCAAACCATCATATCCATTTTTGGAAGCAAGATCTATAACAGTGCATCCAACAGGGTTTTTGGCTATTGGATCTATAACTAAAATTAGCTTTGCCCAACCAGATAGAAGGCTTGCAACCATTTTTTCCCAGGAAAAAAATACTGTTCTCAGTCATAAAAAATAATGTAACAAATCCATTACTTAAATCAGTTGACAAGAATTTTCACCACTATCCAATAAGTGTGATCCAATTTACATCACCTTTTCCGAAACCTTACTCTCGAACATACATTTCATGACACAGACATGCTGTCGTCGTCGTGCGTTTTCTAATTTCTGTTGGTGCTTCAGTCTTGCTCGGTCTTGGGTCTCTAGTGTGGATTGCTTGATAAAGGGGCTTGGCTTTTCTGGTGCTTCCCCAGGTTGGATTTGTATCCCCGCTGCTCTACTTATTCCACTTATCAGACTGGGAAAAATTAGGGAGTAGTGCCTATCACCCCAAGTGCTTGTACCATGAATTTGGTTGTAGATGTACGTGGCTAGATCAATCTTGTTCCCTCTAACCAAATGGTATATGAATCCGACCCTTGGATTTGTAAATGTTGTTCTGTGGGATACGATGTTATGGCACATGAATAACCATAAAATTGCTATGGATGGGGAGAGATCTATCTGATGCCAGTCTACTGTAGGTAGAGGTCAAGCGTTTTCACGTCCCAACAATATTTCTGCAACCTCATACCAGTTGAAGTCTTCGGGAATGGGAACCACATTATTCCAGGATAACTGATAGTAGTCACGAATTACCTCTGGTGAAAACATAATCCATTTGCCCCTAACCCAAGTCTGATGTAAGTGCTTCGATCCGGGAGTGTCGATTTCTGTGTTGAAGTTTGCATAAAATTCCTTTGCTAGATTCTCATACACCGGATGAGGTCTTTCTATTACCTTGTCCCAGCCACAATTGTGAATAAGATATGTCAATTCAAAGTTGGGGAAGTCTTCTAACTTTACTGGCCTCTCGGGAATGATTGCCCAATCACGCACAACATTGGCGTATCGGGCTGCCGTATCTGATGATAGGAATCTTTGAACACCCCCTTCGGGTTCTCTTGTTCGGGCCGTTCCAGATGAGGAGCCGACTTTCTCTTTTCCCTTTGAAGTTCTTTTAGGAGGCATCCTGCAAAAGGAAATACACAATATCACTCACTTGGTGTAAAAAAAAAATGGGCATGAATAAATTTTGAATTCATAATCCCCCAAACTTTCTTCAATATGCACATTTACGTGTGTTTATACAATGTTTCATAACATGAACCATCAATATAACTCTAGTATTGCATAAGTATGGAAAACTCAAAATTTTGGCTCGAACATGCATTTCTAAAAATTTTTACCCATGACCAAGTGACCAAGTTCGGCCCCGGGCATCACCGAGAAATATCCAAATTTTCCCGAGCAAGTTTTGGACATGTGAAAGTACATAATGATATCTAGCATATATCCAAATTTCACCCTAATCGGAGGTCGTTTGCATTAGAAAACATAGGGACGAAGGTAGTGACGTGAGTGGATATGTTGAACCATGAAATGCCTTTGTGAATTCAAATGTTAAGGTAATGTTTTCTATTGAAATATCACATGATTTTTCGACAAAAACGCTACACAATAACGATGTAAACTATTACATAAGTGAAAAGCCCAAAAAATCAAAACATACGTTAATGAGGCATTTCGTCGAACACTTGGTGTGCAATGTGAATTACTTCCTATTTCTTACATACACTACCATGAAAGTTCCCCAAATTCACAATATTACACCAATCTACCACAATACATCCTAACTAAATCCACACATTGAGAGAGAATGTAAGAATGAAGCTCGAAATTAAGGATTAGAAGAACATACCTTGTATTTTCAATTTTCTTGTTAAATGTAATGTTGAACTCAATTTATAGTCCAATCCAAATTGGGTGCTTGAATTGTGAATGTGTGAAGTAGGTGCAAGTGAGGAGTGATATGTGTGTGGTGTGCAAGTGTGAAGGTGGGTGAAGTGTGTGCGAGTGTCTCGAGTGTGAGGGAGAGGGGGAGAAAAATTTGGGGAGGAATGGTGTGGTCACGGGTTAAA